GTAGTGGCCTCCAGCCGGCGCCGCCGACCTGGGGCGATTCTGCTGCTGTCGGGGGCAGCCAAGCGCGTCTCTGTTCCTCCTCCTCCCCCTCCTCTTTCTCCTGCTCTTTCTCCTCCTCCTCCTCTTCAAGAGGGTTCGGGGTGTGGCTGGCATTCGTGGAGACTATGGTCCTTGATGAGCTTCTCGTAAGCCACGAGGTTAGCCTGCTGCGGCAGGGTTAAGGAGCCCCTGTTCACGGGGGGCATCGTGCCTAGGAAGTCCTTCAGGCGGCCGGGGCCAAGAGCTGGGGCGGGATCTGGGACGCCAGGAGCCAACGTTGCTCGAATACCCCGAAGGAATAAGCGCACGCGCATTTGGGGGAGCTTGTAATCTTGGGCGCGCAACTTGCAGATGGACCAGTGGAATTGCGGCACGCGCCGTCTCAAAATCTTCAGGAAATGAGCGGCCATCGAGATTCCCCCCTTGATGGAGTGCGCCAGACCTTCAATATTTTCCAACGCGCACATCAACAATCCACCCTGGTGCACGAGATCAATAATCCAATAGAGAATGTGAAAAATAGTCGCTCTGGCATCTTTGCCGCTCCTCCTCTGCCCTTGCGCAGACCACGGGGGGCACGGTGGCCCCGCGCACAACGCGCCGATTGGTAGGGGGAGGCGTTCTGCACAGAGTTGAGCGACGTCCCCGCGGTGTTTCCCGAAATGTAAATTCACGACGGTCTGGCGCTGAGCCGACAGGCGGGGCATTAAGGCGGTCGAGTAACCCTCTTCGAGGTCGTGCGCCAGGACGACGTCCGCCGGCACCTGCGGGGGGATGCGAAATCCCAAGGGCATCTCCGAATCTACTTGCCTGTTGGCCGGAGCCCTGGGCCGTCTGAACCGTCTGGGCCGTCTGGGCCGTTTGGGCCGTCTTGGTCGTCTGAACCGTCTGGGCCGTCGTCTGGGCCGTCGCCTGGGCGGCCGTCTAGGCCGCCTGGGCCGTCTAGGGCCGTCTGGGCCGTCTGGGCTGCAAGCGCCGTCAGCGCCGTCAGCGCCGTCAGCGCCGTCTGTGCAGTCTGGGCCGCTGGGCCGCCTGGGCCGTCTGGGCCGTCCGGGCCGTCTGGGCCGTCTGGGTCGTCTGGGCAGCCTGGGCCGCCTGGGCCGCCTGTGCCGTCTGGGCCGTCTGTGCCGCCGTCTGGGTCGTCCGTCTGGACCTGGGCCGCCTGGGCTGTCTGGGGCGTCTGGGGCGGTCTGGGCTCCCTGGGCCGTTTGGGCCGTCTGGGCCGCGTGGGCCATCTGGGCCGTCTGCAGCCGAGCGGCCCAGGCGGCCCACGCGGCCCAGACGGCCCAGGCGGCGGAGACGGCGGAGACGGCGGAGACGGCCCAGGCGGCTCAGACAGCCTAGACGGCACAGACTGCCCAGAGTGCCCAGACGGCCCAGCCCAGACGGCCCAGGCGGCCCAGACGGCCCAGACGGCCCAGACGGCCCAGGCGGCCCAGACGGCCCAGCCAGACGGCCCAGAGGGCCCAGACGGCGGAGACGGCCCAGACGGCCTAGGGGGCCCAGACGGCCCAGACGGCCCAGACGGGCCAGACGGCCCAAGCGGCCCAGACAGCCCAGAGGGCCCAGACGGCCCAGACGGCCCAGGCGGCAGACGGCCCAGGCGGCCCAACGGCCCAGACGGCCCAGACGGCCCAGACGCCCCAGACAGCCCAGACGGCCCTGACAGCCCAGGCGGCCCAGACGGCCCAGACGGCCCAGACGGCCAAGTCGACGCAGACAGCCCAGACGGCCCAGACGGCGGAGACAGCCCAGGCGGCCCAGACGGCCCAAACGGATTAAACGGCTCAGACGGCCCAAACGGCCCAGACAGCCTAGAAGGCCCAGGCGGCCCAGACGGCCCAGGCGGCCCAGACGGCCCAGACGGCCCAGACGGCTCAGGCGGCCCAGACGGCCCAGACGCCCCAGACGGCCCAGACGGCCCAGACGGCCCAGACGGCCCAGGCGGCCCAGATGGCCCAGACGGCCCAGACGGCCCGCCCAGGCGGCACAGACGGCCCAAGCAGCGGAGACGGCGGAGACGGCCCGTCTGGGCCGCCTGGGCAGCTTCCGCCGTCTAGGAGGTCTGGGAGGTCTGGGCGGTCTGGGCCGTCTGGGCCGCCTGGGCTGCCTGGGCCGTTTGGGCCGTTTGGGCCGTCAGGGCCGTCTGGGCCGTCTGGGCCGTCTGGGCCGTCTCCGCCGTCTGGGCGGTCTGGGTCGCCTGGGCCGTCTGGGCCGTCTGGGCCGTCTGGGCCGTCTGGGCCGCCTGGGCCGCCTGGGCCGTCTGGGTCGTATGGGCCCTCTGGGCCGTCTGGGCCGTCTGGGCCGTCTGGGCCGTCTGGGCCATCTGGGCCGTCTGGGCCGTCTGGGCCCTCTGGGCAGTCTGTGCCGTCTGGGCCGTCTGGGCAGCTTGCTTGGGCCGTCTGGGCCGTCTGGGCCGTCTCCGCTGTCTGGGCGGTCTGGGTCGTCTGGGCCGTCTGGGCCGTCTGGGCCGTCTGGGCCGCGTTGGCCGTCTGGGCCTTCTGGGCTGTCTGGGCGGTCTCCGCCGTCTGGGCCGCCTGGGCCGTCTGGGCCGTCTCGGCCGTCTGGGCCGCCTGTGCCGTTTCCGCCGCCTGGGCCGTCTGGGCCGTCTGGGCCGTCTGGGCCGTCTGGGCCGTCTGGGCCGCCTGGGCAGTCAGGGCCGTCAAGGCCGTCTGGGCCGTCTGGGCCGTCTGGACCGTCTTGGCCGCCTGGGCCGTCTGGGCCGTCTGGGCCGTCTGGGCCGCTTGGTCCGCCTGGGCCGTCTGGGCCGTCTGGGCCGTCTGGGCAGTCTGGGCCGTCTGGGCCGCCTGGGCCGTCTGGGCCGTCTGGGCCGTCTGGGGCGCGCCAAGGGGCGCCGCGGAACGCGCTGATGGATGCGCCACGGGATGTGCCAGAGTAGTAGTAGTAGTAGCAGCAGTAGTAGTGGTGGTAGTAGTAGTACGAGTAGTAGTAGTACTCGTAGTAGTAGTAGTAGTAGTAGTAGTAGTAGTAGTAGTAGTAGTAGTAGTAGTAGTAGTAGTAGTAGTAGTAGTAGTAGTAGTAGTAGTAGTAGTAGTAGTAGTAGTAGTAGTAGTAGTAGTAGTAGTAGTAGTAGTAGTAGTAGTAGTAGTAGTAGTAGTAGTAGTAGTAGTAGTAGTAGTAGTAGTAGTAGTAGTAGTAGTAGTAGTAGTAGTAGTAGTAGTAGTAGTAGTAGTAGTAATAGTAAAAGGGCGCGCAGGGATTATCAAAAAAAAAAAAAAACAAACGCACAATATCCGCGCCCCCCCCCCCCCCCCCCCCGAACCGCCGCCCTCCCTCGAGGGTGCCCGCGGCAACCCCGCGGGGCCAGGCCGCGCGCTCCGCCGCGCCGCCCCGCGGCAACCGTTAGGCTCGGCGGCTGGCGGGTTGGCGCAATGGCCATTGCATGAACCTTTCCCGCCTCCTCCGTGCACACCCCAGGGCCGTCTGGGCCACCTGGGCAGTCTAGGCCGTCTGGGCCGCGGTGGACTTTCACGCGGGGGCCCTCTCGGTGGAACTTCATTTGAGGCCACGCGTGAGGGGTGCGCCAAAATGGCGAGTGCCACTCACGCTGACGCGGCCACATGGGCCTTCGGAGGATCCCCATTTGACTCCACGAAGCGCGTGCTGGGTGGCTATCATCATCACCGCCCCCACCATCATCAGGGTCATCATCGCCGCCCTCGCCACCTTTAGGCTCGGCGGCAGGGCCCGCGGGCCATCGTCGCCGTCCTCGCCAGCATTAGGCTCGGCGGCAAGGTCCACGGGTCACCGCCGCCATCTCATTCGCCCATTTTGGCTCAGTGGGCAATTTCCTTTGGCGTCATCATTGCGGCTATTCCGCTGACCGTTCTTCCTTGTGTAGAACGCAATGGATGTCCTCAGCGCCATGTCCGGTGACAGCGAACCTACGCCAGAGACGGGCAACTCGGGCTTCGGCCCTCCGCGCCGCCGATCCGCCTCAGAGCGCCGGCCAGCACCGCCGCAAGGCACGCGGAAGTGCAGGGCGCCGAAGCCATCGTCGGCAGCACCACCGCAGGAGAGCGAGGTTGCGCCGCCAGGCGAAGCACCCATCGAAGGAGGCGACGACGAATCTCCAGAAGAGGATCCTTTTCCAGAAGGCGATGGCCGCTCAACAGCGGCTGATCGTGGAAGTACCATCGTAGGAGAGCGGTCGGCTCCGCCGCAGATGGAGGTCCAAGAACAAGAGATTATTCATGTGTACAAGTTGTGCGACGATATGCCTGAGCAGGTCCTGTCGGTCTTCAGGCGCATGATGACCTCACAGATTGACCCAGTCCCAGGTCAGGACTACATTGTCAGGAGGATGCGGTTCAAGGTGTCCTACAACCTCCAGGTGAAGGTGGACTATGTTTCCAGGGACGGCATGGCAGAGCCCGTGGACTAGAGATTGCAATCAAATGTAAATGGGTATTGTTCGGTGCTATGGGGAGTGGCTGGTTCATATTCGGCGATGGCGCCGTCATAGATGATGTGCAATAGATTGATCCTTGGAGGGGGAGAGATACCAGCAGACGATGGCGCCAACAAAAACGTCAATGTTCTGTGATATCTCATACTTCTTGGCGCGATGGGTGTTTCTCTATCGGCGAGTTTGCAAGCATTTGTTGACGAGAATGGCGGGCCGCACTTCCGAAGCAGATCGTTCGTTTGGAGTTGTGTGGGCGCGAGTTCGCTTGTAAATATATATACACATGGGGCAACAACGGGTCAACTAATATAGGAAAACGCACGCACGGCGCAACCACGGGACGACCGCGGGACAAACGACCGGCGGGACAACCACGAGACAACCACGGGACAACCGACCGCGAATTGCGTGAGGGGCGCGCCGAAATGAGCGCGCGATGGCGATGGTGATGATGGTGACGACGACGACACTACGTCTACGATGGACGATTGCTTACCATCACCATCACCATTACCATCACCACCACCACGCCTCAACGATTCCACTGGTGCTCCACCGCGTAGAACACGGAGAAGCGCCCGCAGCCGACGCGGGAATACGTCGCGAACCTGGGGGCCACGCGGATGACAAGTTCTGGCCTGCCCGATCTTATCGGATGGCGGCAGCGCGCAACGGCTGGAACGGCCGTTGTGCGTTGCCGCCATCCGAGTTTCGGTGTTTCAATCGCCCACGGCGACCCGTCGGGCCAAATGAGAAACAGCACGCTGCCCAGGGCGACGAGCTCAAGCGCTGGGCTGCGGGCGCCAAGCGTCGACACCCAACTCGCGGGGTGCGGGGCCGCTGGGACGCGCCAGCGGCCGCTGCAGTCCCCGCTGGGTCCCAACGGGAGCTGCGCCAC